GTGGGTTTTAAGGAGTTCATTATGAGGATGGGAATGCAGGAGATTGATCAAAAAGGTGCTTTCTTTACTTGGGGAAATAATAGGGAAGCTGAAGGGTATGTGGAAGAGAGACTGGACAAAGTATTTGCATCTCTGGGGTGGATTAGCAGATTCCCTAAAATGGAGGCCTCTAACTTCTTTAGGAGTGCCTCAGATCACAATGTTCTGCTAATGGACACAGATAAAGATATGGTGGTGAAAAGGAAGAGATTCCATTTTGATAGTGGTTGGTTAAAGTTGGAGGGAGTAACTCAAGCTGTGGAAAGTGGATGGCACATTGAGATTGTAGGATCACCTATGTTTCAGGTTCACCAGAAAGTTAAGCATACCAGAATGGCCTTGACTAATTGGAGGAAGCCATTGAAAAGAAATGCTGAAGTAGATATTAAGGCTTTAACATCTAAGCTTGAATTCTTAAGAGGCCAAGGGGGAGCTAGGAGCTGGGAAGAGTGGGATATGGCTAAAACAGAGTTAGATAATGCTTATAAGGAAGAAGAGAGGTTTTGGAGGCAAAAGTCTAGAGCAGTATGGCTTAAAGCAGGAGATAGTAATACAAAATATTTCCATGCATCTGTGGCTCAGAGAAGAAGGAGGAACAGAATTCACAGCTTGTTAACTACTGAGGGTGCCAGAATTGACAATGAGACCGACATGGTGAACCACATTACTGATTTCTACTCTTCTTTATTTTCCTCTGAAGGATCCCAAGGAGGTGATGACATACTCCAACACATGAATCAATCCATCACAGAGGACATGAACCAGCTGCTTATAAGGCCTGTGGAGGATGATGAGATCAAGGAGACTGTATTTTGCTTGACACCTGATAAATCCCCGGGAGAGGATGGTATGTCTACCATTTTCTTTCAACATTTCTGGAATATTTTAAGTGGGGATGTGTGTAGAGCAATCAAAAGTTTTTTCAATTCTGGTAATTTGCTGAGAAACTGGAATCATACAATTGTGACTCTTATTCCTAAATGTCTATATCCTGAGTCTCTTATGAATTACAGACCAATCAGTCTTTGTGGGGTGTTGTATAAAGTGATTGCTAAGCTGCTTGCTAACAGATTGAAACCATGTCTTGAGGTTTGTATTAGTCCTGTTCAAAATGCTTTTGTTCCTGGTCGACTCCTTCTGGATAATGTGGTAATTGCCCATGAGATTTTCCATTTTCTCAATAGGCATAGATCTGGTCCAAACATGTTTTTTGCTCTAAAACTGGATATGGAGAAGGCCTATGACCGGGTGGAATGGGATTCTATTAGGAGAATTATGCACAGGATGGGTTTTCATGAAAAATTTATTAAGTGGATTTATGCTTGTATTTCTACGACATCTTTCTCCTTTAATGTGAATGGTCAGGTGGCTGGTTTTGTCACACCAACCAGAGGAATTAGACAAGGGGATCCACTATCCCCGTATCTCTTCCTGTTGGTGTCAGAGATGCTTTCTTCTCTTATTGCTAAGATGACTGATATTGGCAGATTTAGGGGAATCACAATTTCTAAGAATGGCCCTTTAATCACACACCTTTTATTTGTTGATGATGCATTAGTTTTTGGCAAAGCAGATGCACTCCAGGCAACAACTATTTTGGAAGTGTTGAGGAAAGATCAAGAGTTTACTGGTCAGAGGGTAAACTTAAGTAAATCTTCAATGTTCTTTAGTAGAAATTGCTCTGAATCTGTTAAATCCCAACTGTGCTCTTTGTTCAGAGGTGTGGTGGTGAAAAGGTCTTCTAAATACCTCAGATTGCCTTTGGGAATTGTTGCTTCTAAATGGGAGACTTTTCAATTTGCTATTGAGGCAGTCAGAAGTAGAATGGGAAGTTGGACTAATACTTTTCTTTCTGTGGCTGGCAGAGAAGTTCTTGTGAAATCAGTACTGAGTGCCTTACCAGTGTTTGTAATGTCCTGTTTTTTATTGCCTAGGGGTGTGTGTAAGGAGATCAGTAAGCTGTTTGCTCAATTTTGGTGGAGTAAGAGTGAGATGCAACAGGCTGGGATGCACTGAAAATCGTGGGAAAAGCTATTTGTCCCTAAGGCTGATGGAGGTTTGGTGTTTTCATGATATTACCCTATTAAATAAGGCCCTTGTGCTGAAACAAGTGTGGAGAATATTTTCAAATCAAGATCTCTTGGTAAGTCAAGTTCTGAAGCAAAGATATTTTCCTTCTAACTCCTTATTTGATTACAAAAAGACTCAAGGATCTTCTTGGTTGTGGAACACATGGTCATCTCTATTACCTGTGCTTCAAAGACATGTTAGCATTTGTATCAAAAATAGGGAAAATACAGGACTTGGTGATTATCATTGGGTACCTGGACTGAATGGAGGCAAACCTGAAATTAAAGTGCAAATAGATGCCAACATGTTCAGAGTGAAGGACTTATTATGTAATGGTGGGGTCAGCTGGGATAGTACCTTGATTAAAGCCTTGTTTAAGGATGGAGATGCTTCTGAAATTTTGAAGATCAAGGGACTGAATCCTAACTCTGAGGATGTGCTAAAATGCTCTTTTGCTACCAAAGGAAAATTTTCTGTGAAGACTGCCTACAGTGTGCTGCTAAATTCTAAGATTTGTGTAACATCTGAAGCTGAATCAAGTAGAGATGCACTGGGTAATTTGAGAGCTAGGAAAAGATGTTGGCAGCTGAAAGTCCTTGGGAAAATCAAACACTTCATATGGAGAGGCTTCACCAATATCATTCCTGCGAGAAGCAATCTTGGGAAAAGTGACTAGAAGTGGAGACTTTGTGTCCGAGCTGTGGAGAAGATATTGAAACTCAGGAGCATTTGTTGTTCCAATGTACCAGAGCTCAATTAGTTTGGAAGCTGGCGGCTGTGCAATGGAATAGAGTAATGGAGGAAAAACTAACTTTCAAAGAATGGTGGTGGTGGATCTGTACAATGAAGAAAGATGACATTTCTGAAGAAAGAATCCAACTGTCTACCTACATTTTATGGTGGCTATGGAGAGCAAGAAACTTGTGGGTTTTTGAGAGAATTTGGCAGCCTGAGGTGAAAATTGTTAAGGCTGCTTATAAGGACTGGAATGACTTCAAGGACAACAACTGAATGCAAAGAATACAAGTCATATGGAGGAGTCTAGGTCTAGTGTCAGTGGGCTTCTCTGTATAGCTTCATTTATGTACTATTGTTGATGTATTCTGGTTATTATTTGCAGCTAGATGTATTGGCTATAAAGTTCTGTTAGTGACTGCTTTCTTAGGATTAGATGCCATTGGTAGTATCATGTTTTGGTTGGAATTGGCTTGGCTAAGCAGATATGGTTTTCTGTCCTCTCAGGGTCTGCGGATTGGGGTTTTTGTCCTATGTACATATTTTTCTATGGTATGAGAAAATCTTTCTGCCGTTTGACAAAATATATATATATAAAGGGTATTTAAGTATTTTACCACATATTTCGTGTCGCTCCACAAGTGACTCAACCTTTGAAAATTTGAGCTGACTCGATAACATGCTCGAGCTGCTCGAGCTCGACTCGTGTTCAGTCAAACTCAAGCTCAATCAAAGCTTGACTCGAGTGTTGTCGACTCATTTGCAGTCCTATGCACAACCGAGAGTCCACTACTATACACAACATATAGATATGGTGACATAATGTTGATATCTAATGCTGTTAAACCAAGATGTTCCATCACCTTTACCTTTCCATTTTTATAAGAGAATGATCCCAAATTCTCAGTAATGCTAAAGAGCCAACTGTTGGCTCCGTTATGGAACCAACAACCAATGAGACAGATCCATGTGAGGCTGTCCCACATGTCATGTGAGACAGCTCCACATGGAGCTGTCCCATAGCCAAACAGTTGGCTCCTTCTTCTTATACATTTACCGTCACCAATCACCATTCTCGAAAATCGCCACAAAAATATTCCCTGTATCCACATCCACACCGAAAAGCGTGGTTTCCACGCGACCACCATATGCTCCTATAAGTACGCCCACCCGCCCCTCACCCTAAAAAGTAAAATCTCCAATACGACGACGAACAAAAATGCAATCGCTTCAGGAGAAAGCGTCGGAATGGAGTGGGGTCCACCCAGACGATGCTTTCGTCATTGATGAAACCAATCTCTACGATAAGCTTGGCCTTCAGACTTTCATTACCCTCTCCACTAACTTTTACAACAGGTAAAAGCCTTTGTTATTAGTCTTGGAAAGTGATTGAGCTGAGGCCGAATTAATTCGGAAACCACAGGTTATTGTGGAGTATTTAGTAAGTATATGATATTGATTTCCTCTAGCAGATTCTATAATGTAATCAGCGGATTGTGATTTTGGTTTTATATTTCCGTATTTTTATTTTCTTCTGTTCTAACTTTAAATTTGTAATTTGGGATCTGATTGATCGTCTGAAGTAATTGTTATTGCCTTTTTAGTTTATTGGCTTGAGTAATGAGTGTATGCTGAGTTTGACTGTGAAATTCGTGCTTAGTAATACCACAGAGCTGAGGAATGGTTTTCATCAGCTCTGATTAGTATTTGGAGCTTAGTTTCTTTTACTCTTTACAATCTATACACGAGTTCTATTTGATGTCATCAGTTAAACTGTAGTTATGATACTATTCTGCTATTGGTACTGTTTTGGTTTGTAACTCGATTGCCTGGGCTTGTCTCGTGAATTGGAAATGACATTTGTTGATTCTTAAGTTGGTATTTTTGTTATGTTTCACTTGATTTATTGTGTACTATTTATTTTGCATTCATGGAGAACAGGGTTTATGATGATGAAGAAGAGTGGTTTAGAACAATTTTTGCAAATTCCAAAAAGGAAGATGCCATTCAAAACCAATATGAGTTCTTTGTACAAAGAATGGGGGGACCTCCATTGTTCAGCCAAAGAAGAGGTACCCCTTGAAGTATCTCATGCTATTGCAATCGTAGATACGGTTTTCGATAATATCTTTGCTCAAAAAGTTTTCAGTATCTCGTGTCATACTACAAGAATCTTATCCTTATTACCAATTTTATATAATCATGCCATGACAGCACTTGCCGCAAGGTGATAGTTTCTGTGTGGTGCGATTGGGAACGTTTTAGAGATGTGCTCATCACCAAACATTTTAGTGGTTTAGAATGAGTAGCAATTGCTATGTACAACTTTTTAACAGTCACAAAATTGTTTCTTTTGAGAAGTGTGTAGCATTGAGATTTAGTTGTTTTCTTTTCTTTTTCTTTTTCTTTTTCTTCTAATGATGAAAAGTGAGTGAGTGGTTCCAGAGCTTTGTACTTGGTTTCTATATGTTCAAGTGGAAATTTTTCGCATTAGTCATATTGATGGATGGCATTATCTTATATATGTAACTGCCCAAGAACAGGTTTATATTTATATTCATCTCCTGTACATGACATGAAATTTGAACAAAATTAGCGTACCGTTGATTTTGCTTCACAAGGCATTCATTTTCACCCCTGCTCGAACTCCTTGCTAACGAGCTGTAAAAACCAGACAGATTGGGTTTTCCGTATTTTGTTTTATCTAGAAGTCCTAGAGATTTTCTTTAATTGGAAATGTGTATATAATGATTATTCTTGGATCTTACAACATTCTGAATTTCCTTTTAACTACATTTCTTTTCTTATCAAATCAAATATTTGTCAAATCAAATATTCAAGTTATCATAATATTGAAACTAAGTCGGCCGGGCTTTTTCAACAGGCCATCCTGCTTTGATTGCACGCCATCGTCCGTTCTCTGTCACTCACTTGGCTGCAGAGAGGTGGTTGCACCACATGCAGCAAGCGTTGGACACCACTTCAGATATTGATCCGGACTCCAAGACCAAAATGATGAATTTTTTCAGGTGCAAGTCTCTGTCTTTTATCTTTTTTAGCACATGAAATTCTCTGTGAGGCCTATCTGACACTTAGACGTTTATACTTCTAGTCGAATAAAAGTGTCGGTGAATTCCATATTTTTCAAAACAATAAAAAGCGATTT